TGTGTGTGTGTGTGTGTGTGTGTGTGTGTGTGTGTGTTTGTGTACACACATGAAGACAGACACAGAGAAAGAGAGAAAGAAGCAGAGAGAGGGAGGAAGAGACAGAGAAAGGAGCATACCTGTCCCTCTTGTAAAATACATTAAAAGATAGAACAGTCATGTCTAAAGTTTTTGCTGTACTATTTTAAGGACTAGAGATATACATCAGAACATTTATGTCCTAATTTTTAACCTAAATATTATACTAACATAAAACTAGCTAATGGTGACAAAAATAAACAAACAAACCAGGAGTATCATTCTTTGGCTATTCACCTTAAAAAATAACAGGCCAGGGCTATGGATTAATAAGTATTTACAGACCAATAAAATTTATTCTAGTAATAAATGAGTAGTCACCTGCATTTCATCTAGTTTTGATTGAATGTCTGGAGGGAAGTCACCTGCTCCACAGTTAAAAGGGTCAAAAGGTTCTGCTCCAAAAAGGTCTCGTTCTAGAATAAAGGAAATAAACAATTTAGTAGCATGGAAATCACAGGACTTAGGCAATGAAAGCGTAGATTATTTTAATGGGAGAATTATTCACTTTGATTATTTTTGTTGCTCACATGAAATAATTATTTGGCCAATTCTCCATTTCAATTTTATGCTATGTTGACACAGCCTCCTATTAATCAAGTTATGGCCTAAGGAAACATCTAAAGAGCCTAGAAACACTTTGTTGAATATTATTATAATTTACTAATAATACATGTTAATAAGCTATTCTGTTACAGATAATTTAACTCATATAATTTAAAATGTCTTGAGTGAAGGTTTTGAAATTTTTCTTATCTTTTTTTTATTATGAAACTGACAAACACCAGTAAACAACAACATTTCTCTATATCTGCGATTCTTCACCTGAGGTCCATGAATTTGGTTTTGCCCAAGCTTAGCACAGTGCCTGCAACATGAAAGGAGCCAAGACAAAGTCTCGTTAACTTTATTTAAATATAATTTTTCTTACTAATCATAAATAGTTTATTTTATGCTTTTAAAAACATATTCTAAGATGGGCTCAATAAGTTTCATCAGACTGTCAAAGGAGTCCATGGTGCAAGAAAGGGTACCCTACCCTATACAAAAGGAGAACAGAAAAATGGGGACTGCATTTGAACTTCACACGCAGCTTGGGTTTTTTTTTTTTGTTGTTGTTGTTTTTATTTTGTTTTGTTTTTTTACATGACTCTGCAACATTGGCTAGCAATCTAATTCCATTATAAATGTATTATGATTGTGATTTCATATTTATAACACTTGTTCAATAAATATTCATTTATTCTATAAAAGGAACTCTTCTAGCTCCTATGAAACATTCAAAGATGTATGATTTCTTTGCTCCTGTTAAGCACTACGGGAGCATTAATACTATTCTCAATGTCATTACAAAGTTTCAAGAATGTAATACATGTTTTTTAAAATAACAAACTGTCTTCCATTTTAGACCATTCAGTTCCCCATAAATGACAGATAACGGGTCATGACCTCCCACTGGGAACCACTGATTCAGCCTCTGTGATGGAGGGCACAGATTAAAATACAGTAGGTGTAGTACCATTGAAAATAAATTTGTTGTATGCTAATTCACAAAAGAAATGAGCTATATTTCTTATGGACAAAACACCAAAGAAAAATGCACAGCTGAACCTTTATATTCTACTGGCCAACAAAAATGTCAGTGGCTTAATTAAGAAACACACAAATCCTTTACAATGGATTTACAATGGATTCAGAAAGAGATCTTACAGTGCATATTTACATGATATTGTACAATTCTTTAGCTAAAGAGATCAAAATGGCAAACTGCACTTTTAGAAAAATACAAATAAACTTAAACCCTACTAAATTTGTCAAATTTAGAGATCAAAAAGTTAAACAAAAAGACCTGGTTAACAAATCTTTTGGGAAGAGGATAAAGGTTTCCAATCTTCACTAGGCATCTGTGTTAAAATTGTACCTTTTAAAAAAAATATTTATTTTATTCTGAACTTAAGAAACAAAATAAGCATTTCCATAACACAGGAGAACAGAAAAAAGATGATTATACATGAAACTGCAAATCTATTATGTACAATTTATATTCCTTTTAAATATATAATAGCTATCATATAACTTTCTTTTTTTTCTTTCCTCCCCCACCCTAGGGATGGTTGCCATTAGACACAAATATCTGTGTGTGTGCGTGTGTGTGTGTGTGTGTGTGTATGTAAAACCATTCTATACATAATTCTATTTATTAGTTCTTTCTCTGGATGAAGATAGCATCTTCCTTCATATGTCCTTTGTAGTTAATTTGGGTATTTAAAATAGTCAAAATGACTTAGTCATTCAAAATTGTTCTTAAAACAATATTTGCTGTTACTGCTCATTTCACTCAATATTCCACATAAGTCCATCCATGTTCTTCTAAGATCACTGAGCTCATCATTTCTTATAGCACAGTAGTATTCCATCACAATCATACACCACAACTCATTCAACCATTTCCCAACTGACGGGTATATCTGTAATTTCCAGTTCTTTGTCACCACAGAGATAGCTGCTATGAATATTTCAGAATATATAGGTGCTTTTCCTTTTCCCCTAATCATCTTGGGAAACAGACCTAGTAGTGGTATTACTGGGTTGAAGGGTATAAGCAGTTTAACAACATTTTGGGCACAATTCCAGAATGCTCTCCAAATTTTATCTTGTTCTGGTCTCCGACTTCCACCTCCTAGTCAGTATAGTAAGTTTATAAGTAGCTAGTAAAAAGTGGCAATAGCAGGAAATTAGACTGCAAAGGGAAACCTGGACATATAAACTGTCTCAAGGATCAAAGGAGCACAATCTACAAATTTTATCATGTATTAACCAAAAATAGCATCCTGGTAATATGGGTTGAATCAGCGGAAGCTACCTAGGCACTTTTGTCAAGGCCTTTTGGTCCCTACAATATATAAATCCCAGACAAATTTCAGGCCTCCACAGAAAAGACCAGTAGATCACCCAATGATGTTGAGAATTTTGAAATGATATGGACATGTTAACTTTAAAGTTTTACTGACAACTTTGAACTAACCCTAGTTAGTTAGTTAGCACAGATAACCTGCCCAAAACCTTATAGAAACGAGAGCTCAATCTCCTGCTCCCCGAGTTCTCTTCCATCTCTATCCGGTTCATGCTGCCAAATGCTGCCAAATCCAATGCATCATTAGATGAGTGATTCTCTTTGCCTCTCTCCCTCCCCATCCTTTTCCTCAGGCTACCTGCCTTCCTTCACCACCCCTTCGCCTGTGCCCATGCCATCTGCATCTGTACTTACTGTGCTGTTTGCCTCCACATCCTCTATAGTTATAAAAATGTGATTACAATCCTATTTCCTACTGCCATTGTGGTCTTTTCCTGTGACTACCTAAAGAACCAGGCATGCCTGCCTTCATTTCATAATTTCATAAATTAATTATCAATTTGTCAGCCCTTTCAGAACAGAAGAATGGGGGAACGTTAACAGCCATTTCTTCACAAGAGTATTGTTTAGCTCTGTTTGAGGAAGTAGAGCCCTGGCACAATTTGCCTTAGCCAGAGGGGAATGATAAGAGCCACAGTAGGTGTCTCCCACTCTCCTAAGTGCCCATCTTCGAAATCCCTCTACATGGACTACTAGTCTTCCATTTACAATCTATATATGTTCTATGTACAAATTTTTGCATGTTGTCTCCTCCATTAGAATGTGAGCTCCTAGAGAGTGGGGACCATGTCTTTTGTCTTTATTTTTATTCCCATGACTTAGTGCAATACATAGTAGTACATAGATGGCCCTTAACACATTTTTGCTGACTAAGTAAGAATTCAAATGGCTTTCTGAACGTAAGTCAAGTGAGAGTTGAACTGGGAGCTTCAGAAGAGGCAGAAAAATACAGAGGAGTTCAAGGAAAAGATCAAAGAGCTCCCTTTCCAGTTCTAAATCTAAATGCTAATTACTATAATATAATCTTATGGTAAATATCTATTTTCTTCTCCGAGAAGCTTGGATGAGGAGAAGAGCTTTGACTGACAGAGCTGATTGAAGAGAACTATGGTTCTCCTCTGGAAGGGACTCTTACTCACCCCTTCCCCACTCATCCCCTTCCTCTATTACACCTACCTATGGATAATGAAGGGGTAGAAAGATCTTGCTGATAAAGCTGGAGCCCTCTTCTGACAAAAAGAGGCTTGGTAATGACAGCATTATTAACAAATGTTAGACAGGGTATTTGGTAAGCAGGAAGGGAGCTTGGCGAGCAGACTAGTTGAAAGGGAGCTGTGATATTCAGCAGTCATCAGTGGAAACACCCAATGCGAGGCAATGCCCAGGGAGGAGCAGAGTTCAGTGTGTCACAGTGTCAGAAGTGTGAGTTGTCCCTCCATGTATGTATTCCCTGGCTCCATATTGTAACCATGTGTGTAGCCCCTTACATGAATACTCTGTATGTCTATTCTTCCCACTGGGAATATGTATATTTGTGGTTTAGGGAACTGAACATTTGGAGGGGCAGGAGGATGTCCTGTTGTTACTTTTACTACTCTGCTATTTTGTTAATTGCCCTTGCTTTGACATATTTACTCTGGTCAGTTAATTAAAAAAAAAACAAAAACCAAACAAACCCTCTTCGGGGGCTTCTGGGTAATATTTTAGAAAGGATTCTCACAAAGTGCCTGCAACTTGGGATAGCTTTCTGTGTGAATAACTTACTCCCTAACTTAGAATAGTCTTCACCAAAGTTCTCTGGAGCAAGAACAAAGTTTTAGAATGAAGATTACAAACAAAACAAAACAAAAATAGATGCTCTATGGAGTCTCAAGGCTCAGCTCAAGTATCATCTCCTACCTTACAAAGCCTTTCCAATCATCACCTCCACACCCCTAATCTCTCCTCAGATGAAGTTATTTTTACATGTATGAATACATATAGAATCCTCTCAGAATTTAAGCACTATGAGAACAATTTTATTTTTTGTTTGTGTATACCCAGTGTACAGCACGTAACAGAAAAATGCTTGCTAGAATTGATGTTAAATTGAACGAAGGGAAAACAAATTGAATATCTCACGCAGTAATAGAAACATATATACATATATATGTTTATGTATATGTATACACGCCTATGTATATATATACACATATACACACACCCATATTTACATACATATGAGGCTTTTTAAGTTCCATTTCCCACACAATGATTTCAAATTGTTCATAACAGCAACATTAGTAATTTTGTTTATAAGTTGAAATGAACTGGCTTAGGGGTACAGAGTTTAACAAACAAAATATTTTGTTTATAGTAACATGAAGTAATAAAACAAAATATATAGTAATAAACATTATTTGGTTTGTTATGAATACCACATACAAAACAATAGAAATAGAATTGTTACAGAACGTACTTATCTCTGTAGAACGACTGGGTACTGGAGGAGGCTGGGTACCATTGCGAGTAGGTGTTGATGACTGAGGAGTTATGGGAGAAAAAGGAACCATATCAAAGATGTCAGTGGAAGGTAATTTAGGTGCCATACTGGCTGCCTGTAATAAGGATAATGACTGTTAGGGTAATATTTCATGTGAACAAATCATAGTACTGAACTTTCAGCATACAGATATAAGCAAAAATCAATCACAACAAAAAATTTTAAACAGGTACCAGCAAAGGGGCCAATAGCTGCTTCTGTTATAAATTTATAAAGGATGACAACATGGAGGACAACTGAAGTTAAGTATTCTGAAATGAATACCTTTTCCACATAGGCATTCTCCACCAAATATCTTTGGCTAGCTTCAGAAAATGGAAACTTTTTTTTTTTATTTTAGGCAAAACATATAAGGCCATTACTACCATTGAGAAAAACATGTAATAGCAAAAGGCAGGGACAGAGCTGCCTTGACAGGAAGGGTTTGGTTGAAATAAGTTAACAGTGTTACTATAAAACATGAAGTGGCCAAATGTGTAAGTATACCTGTATTGAAATACCTGGTGTGCCCAGAAAAAATAACCTTTGTGATAATTGTATATTTAAAATAACAAAAGCCCATTTAAGGTAAGGTATATCAATCTATAGATCAACTTGGAGATACAAATATAACAACTAAAGAACTAGTTCCAATAGATTTGGAAAGAGATGCTAACAAAAAAGATAATCCGTGTTTTCTGGAAAATAATAACATAATCCTCTCATGACTAAAGAATATTTTTAAAGTAATCTATATACTAACTTTAAATATTTATATTCGTTGTTGAATACTTGAATAAGGCACACTCAAGATTTACACTCTTATTAAAGACCCCCATTTTAGAAGTAACTACTCATTGAACACTAAGTTTATAAATAGTCAAAGATGCTAACGAGCATTCATAATTACTGTCACTACTATTGCCCAGAAGAGCCAATACTGCTACTTACTATCTTGGGGATCTTGAACAAATTACTGAACTCTCTGAAACTCAGTTTACTCATCTGTAAAATGAGGTGGATGGACTATTTGGCCTCTAAGATACCTTCCAGCTCTAAATCTATGAGTTTAAAATAAAAATATCAGGGAACTACAGAGTAATTTGTGAGGAGAACATATGTCCACCATTTTTAAGATGAACCAGAACGTACAAATTTAAAAAAACTGCATTTTCTGTGAAAGAAAACTCTAGAAAAGTGAATCACATCTTACAGGTAGCTAGGTGGCACAGCGGAAAAAACACTGGGCCTGAAGTCAGGAAGACATGCATTCTAATCTGGTTTCAGACACTTCATGTGTGACCATGGTCGAGTCACTTAATCTGTTTGCTTCAGTTTCTCCATCTGTAAAATGAAGGTAATAATAGTGCCTACTTTGCAGAGTTATGGGGATAAAATGAGATATTTGTGAAGAGCTTTGCACTAACACACAGTAGGTGCTTAATAAATGCTTGTTTCCTTCCTTCCATGCCCTAGCAATTGCTCTTGAAGGTCTGCCTTAGGCCCCTGCTCTGGTGAATTCCTCTTGGAACCTTAAATTTGAGGGAATGTCTTACTCACATTCCTTTCCTTGCTTCCCCCCGAATTCTCTGGACTTCTCCACCATGTCTCCACCTCCCTACCTCACCCTCTTCTCAGATATTTTTTATGTATTATTTTCCCTCGTTATGAGAACATAAGATCTGTGACAACTCAGATTATCCTCCATTTTTCTTGTATTTGTATTCCCAGCTCTGTGCCTGTAATACAGTAGGTACTTGATAGATGCTTGTAGACATATCTACTCAGTGACAGAACTAGAAACAAGGCCTTTCGACTCCTAATCTCAAGTATTCTTCCCATGATACCATAAGAATGGGAAATAAATGACTTCAGGCTGTAGAAAACTCTGAGGATTGCCCATTTTTCAGTAAGAAGTAGGTATGTGGGGGGCAGCCAGATGGCACAGTGGATAAAGCACCAGTCCTAGCTGTGTGACCCTGGGCAAATCACTTAACCTTGACTGCCTCACCAAAAAAAAAAAAAAGTAGATACATGTTAGATGAATAGGAAAGGAGGGAAATAGGCCGAGAACATGGACGCTTTTGAGCATTGCTCAAATCAGATAGTTATGCATGTCTATTCTTTCCCTTGAGGGCATGCTGTCTAAAGTAATATGAATTTCCAGGACATAATAACCAAATATATCTAACAAAGTATATTCCATAGCCCAATATAAATGGCCTTTGCTATACTGGGTTCAATTCTATAGTGGAAAGAAAGCTGAACTTGGAACTCTGGTTTTAATTGTGAAACCCTCTTAATCCATTTGCAATGTTATTATTGGAAAATGAGAATAATCTTTGATTTTGGGAGTTTGGGGAACCCCTTCACCAATAGAGATAGCAACCCAAATATGACTTAGTACCTAGAATCATAGTTCTAAAGCAAGCAGGAAGCTTAAAGGCCCCTTAGTTCAACCTCCTCATTTTTAAAGAGGAAAAAATTGAAGCAAATTCTAAAAAGTTCCCCTAACAAAAAAGGTTAAGTAAATTGTTCAGGATCACAAAGCTAGAAGGTTCAATGTGAATCCAGGTCTTCCTGACTCCAAGTGCAGCACACTTTCCCTATCACATCTTGCTTCGGTAATCATATTACAGTTATAGTTGTACACTACTGGTCTCAGGGGGTAGTTATGAGAAAAGTTATTTGAGAACCTTTAAGAGTCATCTATAACAGTGTGAGGCATTATGATGACTAACAGTTGCTCTTCTGTACTAATGTAACTAATTAAAATTGGAGTATTCCAGATGGATTGATAATAGCCTCTCCTTGTTCTGGGAACTTGGACAAGCCCCTTAAACTTTCTGTTTTCCAAGTTCCCAATACTCACTGAATATGATAGTTGCGATCTATCCAACAATTCCAGTGGACAACATTTATATAGCATATTAAGATTTGCAAAGTGTGTTTCCATATTTTATCAAATTTGATTTAATCCTTACTACAACAAGAAGATATGATTATTGTGCCCACTTTGTAAGATGAGGAAACTCATGACATGTGTGGTTAAGTTCAGGATCACACAGCTGTTTTTTTGGGGGGGGGATTGGTAAAAATTACTTTTATTTGTTTATTTCATTTTTGTCTTTATTTTTAATAGTATTTTGTCTCCCCCCCCCCATTATATGTAAAGACAACTTTTGGCATTCATTTTTACAAGATTTTGAGTTCCAAATTTTTTTCCTTATTGCCTAAGCCCTCTTCCTAAAATGGTAAGCAATTTGATATATGTTATATATTTACAATCACGTAAAACATATTTCCCTATTAGTCACAGTTGCGAAAGAAGAAACAGACCTAGGGGGCAGCTAGGTGGCACAGAGGATAGAGCTCCGGCCTTAGGGTCAGGAGCACCTAAGTTCAAATCTGGTCTCAGACACACAACACAGGACACTTACTAGCTGTGTGACCCTGGGCAAGTCATTTAACCTCGATTGCCTAGCAACAAAAACAAACAAACAAACAAACAAAAAACCTTTAGGGGTAGCTAGGTGGCACAGTGGATAGGGCTCTGGCCTTGGAATTAAGAGGACCTGAGTTTAAATCTGGCCTCAGACACTTGACACTTAGCTGTGTGACCCTGGGCAAGTCACTTAACCCTGACTGCCTCACCAAAAAAAAAAAAAAGAAGAAACAGACCAAAAAGAAAAAAAAAACACACACACACAAAAAATAAAGTAAGTTAAAAATGTATGCTTCAATCTGTGTGGATAACATTTTCCATCATGAGTCCTTTGTAATTGTCTTGGATTATTGGATTGCTGAGAAGAGCTAAGTCATTCACAGTTGATCATCACACAATGTTGCTGATACCATGTACAATGTTATGCTTATTCAGTTCATTTCATTTTGCATCAATTCATATAAGTCTTTCGAGGTTTTTTTGGAGTAGGCTATTCCAATAGTTCAGACCAGGTGAAGAAGGCCTACACTAGAGTGGGGCAGTATTAGAGAAGAGAGGGACACATATTTAAGAGATGTTGCAAACATGAAAATGATAGGTCTTGGAAACAGACTGGATACAGGAGGTGAAAAATATGAGTTGAGGATGACTCCTAGATTGTGAGCCTCAGGGACTAGGAAGAATGGGGAAGAACTTAGGGGAAAGATAATTAGACATATTGAGTTTAAGATGTATCCTGAGGATCCAGTTCAGTATGTCAGAAAGGCAGACAGAGATGTGAGATTAGAGGTCAGTCAGCAGAGAATTGGGAAAGACTTGGGGTACACTTGAGAGTTTTCATCGTAGAGATTGTAATTATGTCCATGGGAGCTTATGAAATCACTAAGTGAAGCACTACATAGGGAGAAGAGAATCGGGTCCAGGTCAGAAGACTGAGGGACACCAGTGGTTAGAGGGCATGACCTGGAAGAGGACACAGCAAAGGAGACAGAGAAGGTAAGGTCAGATAGGTAGAAGAACAAGGAGCGAATGGGGTTCTGAAAACCTATAGAGAAGAGAATATCAAGAAGAGAATGATCAACAGTATCAAAGGCTGCAGAGAGATCAAGAAGAATTAGGATAGGGAAAAGGCCATTGGGTTTGAATAAGACTTCATTGGTAATTTGTAATGGATCCAGTCAGAAGGGTTGTGTGATTTTCTCCATCTTCATTCACCAGCATGTGTGAAAGAGTGAAGGAAGCAAGTGGTGGGAGTGATCCAAGGATGAGGCTTGGGTGGGCATAATTATTTATATGATAAAGGGGGCTAAGAATTCAAGAAGGAGGACAGTGTAGAATTGAATTGGATCATCATCAAGGTGGGTGAAAGAGGAGAGAGTGGTTACTGCATGGGAAATGGCTTGGGAGAGAACTTAAGTGTCAAGGGATTGGAGGTCATGGTATGGAGCAAGAGTAGGGAAGTAAGCGAAGGCAGAGGGAGAGATCAAAAGTTAACAGATTACAGTTGGATAAGAGAAATTCAGAATTCCTGATCACAGAAGTTTAATATTTGTGGGGGGTAGCAAGATTAAGGGCTTGTGTGTGGCTGAAGCGGGGTGCAATAGTAGCTCATGGAAAGCAAGTAAGTTGAG